ACATGGTGGTCAAAGGAGGAGAAAGAAACAGAACCTTAAATATATATTGCAATTAAAAGTTTTTTAAAAATTCTGAATTTCCACCTTCATACTAAGTAGGGTATGGAGAAGTAGATCAACCTCTCATTTAGAAAGACTTCAGAAAGAAATGTGTGATTTTAGAAACTAGACAGTGATGGGTGGGAAAGCACAGTTTAAGCCAGGACTGCTAAAATGCTCTGGAGAATACAGAAGTGTTCTGAGCAAGAAGTGAAGGCACAGAGTAATCCTGCTTCATAACTACAGCCCAGTCAGTGGTCAAAGGCCTTTCAATCTTTTCCATTTACTATAACATCTACTAAAATCCAAAGAATTTTAAATGCAGTTGAAACCAACATGCATGGCAATTTGATGATGAAGGTTCTCTATAGGGACATACCACAAGAAAAAAAAGGGCTGGGGACATGACTCAGTGGTTAAACGCCCTGGGTTCAATCCCCATGACAAAGAAAAAGACAACTGGATATTTGTATCCTGCTTATCTAAATTACCCTCCTCTACACTTTACAAAGCCAAAATAATTCATCTTAGGTTCTTTCTCCTTTTCAACTAAAACTCCCTCAACTCAGTGATATGTCTTCTCTTGCCATTTCAGTGAGATTGTAGGCATACTGGCAGCTTCACTGATCACTGAGGAATAAATTGTGATTACAGAATTCAGTTTATGTTAAAGCCAGAATATTGGATTGTACAAAATATATTTGCTTTGCTGCTTGTCTGAGCAGAAAGATCAGCAATTCACATTTAGGTTCTTTGTCCTCCTACAGTTGATTCTTACTATTCAGTGCAGAGTTTAGTTATTCTTGACACTGAACAAAAAGAACAAAAGTATCATCTACTGAAACCAACCATTAACTCACACAGCAGCCTGATATGGCAGCTTCAATGCTCCTCTGCTGAATTCCCTGTTATAAAGCTGAAAAATTTACCCCAGGCAGAATCAACATTCAACTTCTCGTTCCAAAAACACATACCACTTTGCCCAACCACAGGGATAAATCAGCTTACTCCCTTGAGTCATGACTATTTTTTAAAAATGTTGCAGCAACTTCAGATCTTGAGACTTAATAAATGCAGTAACTGGCGCACCCTCAAAGAACCTGAACCTATCTGGTTTAGAGAAGATTTACTGAGTGTAAAGTATGCCTGAATCAGCCTCTAAATTGGCAGACTGACAGTCTCACTCAACATGGATGGTCAGTCAAGAGAGTACACACTAGAATAAGAAATGTCCAGTTATGTCAAACATGAAAATTAGGAGCTAGTAGCCATTCCTACAGAAATGCAGGTCAGATAGAACGGTGTGAGTCATGTTGAAATCCTGTAGATTCCATTTTCATTCTATTTTGGAAGATATGCTTGCTGACCTGAAACTGACATGAGGCTAGGAGTGTTGGTTTTTCTTAACATTTTGAAAAAAGTCAATAACCATTATCACTCCCTTCTCTGCATTCCCAGGGCACTTTGGACATTCTCTCTGATTATGATCTCAAAGAATCTACTCACAAATCTGTGTCTTTCAAGACTGGAAACTTTCTCTTATCCTCTAAAGCAACCCTTAAAAATGAAAAAGAACTCAAAAATACTTTCTACTAATGTGCTGGATGAGAGTAGCTCATAATTGCCAAACATCTCCAACCTCTTTGAACCTGTTGTTTAGGGAACTACTTCCATCATTAAGATTTTGGGGACATATTTGTGTTAATTCGAAAACTCCTCTTTCAACTTTTGATTAATTAGAACCTTTTCTTCAAAAAATTTAATTATTTAGGATGAGATGGCTAAGGTAAATCCAACAGATAAGAGGTTATTAATTTGATAGGCAGTAAAAAAACGTGTGTGTCAATTCATTGAAAAATAGGAGGTAACAAATTCCTTCAAAAATAACATTCCTTTTTTCTTAAGTAAATTCCTACATTAGTATGTCTTTGTTTCTCATCCTACAAAGAAAAGAACATGACAGAAGAAAAACCAATTAAAAAAAAAAATAAAAAAAAAAAGAAAAACCAATTAAGTCTAAGGTTAAGATAAAAATCTGCCCCAATGCCTCAGCTAGGCAACATTAATCTTTTGGAGATAGCTGAGGCTTTTTTACCCATTCTAGAAAATTCCCAAAGATCAGGAAGCTAGTTAATTGGCCATCAGGACTATTAAAACCTTAATTAGAGCAACACTGAATATTGCATTCTTTGTAGCTGGAACTTTCCAAATGTTAATTTCACTTAATCCTTTTAAACAAAGTAAGTGTTATCATTATCCCCATTGTACAGGTGAAGAAACTGAGCCACAGGAGATTAAATAAACTGCCTAAAGAGAAGCGGCTGGTAAATGAGAACCATGACTGAAATGCCAAGCACTGTGGCTATAGTGTCTGTAGAACCGTGATGCCGTGTTGCCTCTCCTACAGAGTCCTCTATGTACACCATATGACAGGCAGGAACCCACATGTACATATTTAGAATATTCCATCAGAAAGGCTTCTTTTGTTATGAAATAAAATCCAGGCCCACCTAAACACAAAACATACTCCAAATACATTAAACCAATGTTTTCAAGATGGTAGATTTACTGAGTGCATTTACCTCCCTTCATTTCTCAAATCCTATTGATAAGATAGAAAATATTAAAATGAATAAACCAGTGTGAGACAATGGGCAAAACTAGAATCAGAAATTAAATCAATGTGGAAAATAGAACAGAATAATTTCAACTAAAAAAAGGTACAAACAAGACAAGAACTATTCTCCATGGTGGAACAGATTACAACAGAAGTGAAAATCTTTCAAATAAAAATAATAAAAACTGGGTTTGGGGGGTAATCACTAGGTGAATTGTTTAAAAAAAAAAAAAAATGAGAGCCAGCTCTAGCACTTGTGACCAATCTCTTTTCAGGGGAGTTTCTCAAAACTTGGGCACTGAAGCCAGAATGAGAAGCAGAGAGGTCTATGCCTGTGTATTTCCAACACAGAGATTAAAAGAAAAACAACTAAGGCATTTCTACACAGAATGGCAACACAGTGAAGCTTACACCCAAACTTTCTTCAAAGCAACTGTGGGACCCCAGCTTGCCCCTTGCCCTCATCTTCACTCTGAGCTACCTAGTTGTGAACATGCCCAGCTCTGCAGAGCCCTTAGGGAGTCTGGCAATTAGAGAAGGACCATTGCTGGAAGAGTATTACAAAGCTTATGAGGAAATCTTGTGTAATTAACCTAATTTTAAATTTCATCAAAGAACAAGACAACATAAAACTCAAAGAACTAAGTTGGAAAAAAAAAGTCAAAGTAAACAGATAAATGTATGTGACATTGCAATTTTATTAACAAATTTCCAGCTATCTGTACTAATGGAGAATTTAAGTCACAAGAATCCTCAAAACTTTCTTCAGCTGGCACTAAAAATATTTTCAAATCTATTTATTACCCAAAGAAAATTTTACATAAACTGATATTAAAACGAACATTTATTCTCTAAGGATATGTCCACTAAGACCTAAATTCTGGCTCCATCTCGAAGTCCAATATTTTATAAAGCCCTGGGCAAATTACCAGTTTTGTTGTCTGAATTTTCCAATTTGTTAAATGGAACAATGTTGGAAAACAGACAGAACTGAATCTTGGATGGATGAAAAAAGTTTTTTAGGGAGAGTCTCCATGTGAAAATCAAGGTGTTCATACCTCTAGAACATCAGTTTCCAAGATGAACTTGATAGTTAAGAAAACACTCCGAATCTTGCAGAGTTTGGAGTAAGAACCACTGAATAAATGCTGTTAGCATTTGATGTATAAAATTCAGGGAACCCAGGAATCTGCCAGCAATGAAGTCATTTGAGACACTACTCACCAAGGGACCACTGCACAGTGCTCCAGTCAGACTTGCATCAGAGACTGGAGACATGGATTTTGAGACAGACTTCTTTGACAATCAAGTTTAGATACTTAGTAAATTTATGACATGTGTATTAAATAACCACTGTTACTCCAAGTGATGGATCAAGAAACTTGCTATACTCAAAGTCTAAGCCATACTCAAAAAGGAGAAATATGATAAACATGCTAAAAAAATCACTGGTACAACTAAGCAATTACCGCTAAACTAAAATGACAAGATATCAAGTACATTAAAATGATATGTATGTAAATTATGTGATAACAAAAATATTTCAGTGTTTTTCTTTTCCATTTTTTATATTTATTTATTGCAGTGCTAGGGATCAAGCCCAGGGGGCCTCACACATGTAAGAATGTGCTTAGCACCTCTACCACTGAGCCTTCATGGTGTTTCTCAAGTTGAGGTTTTAATAGGGCTCTTCATAGACATTATTAAAATGTGTTTTCCATTTAAACAAATAAGAGACATAGTAATTAAATATTTGGACACTGATAGGATTCTGATTCAAAAATATACCTATGGAACAATTGGAAAAATTTAAACACCAGGAAATTTGACCGTAAAGTGTGATAGTATTGTTGGGTTATTAAAAAACAAACAAAAGTGATGGTCCTTATCTTTCAGAAATATGAATTAAAGTATTTGCTGATGAAATGATTCACATTAAAATAATGTGGAAGCCAGGTGCAGTGGCACACCCCTGTTATTAACTTGGGAGGTTAGGCGAGAGGACCACAAATTTAAGGCCAGTCTCAGCAACTTAGCCAAGATCCTGTGACACACACACACACAAAAGGTGAGGGATAGCTGGGGCTATAGCTCAGTGGTAGAGTGCTTGCCTAGAAGCACAAAGCTCTGGGTTTATCCTCAGCATTGCAACTAAAAATATATATATATACATATATATGGTGATTGGCAAGGATATGGATGAAAGATGTGTTGTTAACTGTTACAAGATATATGATAGATTCACAGGATAATTATACCATATTTTCTACTTTTACATAGAACTGAAATTTTCATAATAAAAAAATGCTTTAAAAGTAACAAGTCAAAAGTGACTCATTCCTACCTTTGGTAGAATCTTTTACTACAATGTCAGAGATTTCAAACAGTTTCAGAGGAAGAGGCATCTTCCGATTTGCTGCTATGGTCTTTAAGAGGCCAGGAAGAAGGGTAGTGCGTGCCACCTACAGGAAAAGACGTGAAATTGCACTAAATAAATAGAACCCAAACAGGCAGACCTTGTTAAGACAAAGCACTGAATCCATGGCTTCTGATGACCATACTTCTGAAAAATGCAATGCCTAAAATTTTAAGTTAATTTTAAATTCCAGGTCACTAAAAGAACTGAAAATGTTCTCAATTCCAAATTTATGAAACAAAAAATAATAAATTGATTAAAAAAATAAGTGACACACAAGACTAACTAAAAATATGACTGCTCTCACCTAAGGATTAGTTATTTTATTCCATTATCATTTTTAAAATGAAAGCTGGCTTTCAAGATTTCAAATATGTAAATTTTCATATCCTGCCCCATTTCAGAAGTAAATGAAGTAGATGACAAAAAATATCAATAATTAAGTGAATTAAACATGAATTAATCAAAGTTTTAAAAACCAGGACCAGGAAAAACGTACATGCAATTAAAATACCAGGACAAGAAGGAAAATATAATATAAATATGTAGTCATTAAAAAGTTATATAGCTGCCAATGGGCAGGCTGTGATGTAGTTCTTGGTTTTTATTCACTGAAGCAAATAAGAAAATATTTATAGTCATTTCATTCTTAACCAGTCAAAGAAATGCAATCCCAGTTCTTTAAAAAAAAAAAAGCAAAACTTCACTCCTTTTGTCTGAGATAAATTTCTCACTTTATTTCAACATATGTTAATAGATGGGTTTTATGAGCAGTGATATGACATTATTGCTATACTCTACAGCAGCCTCTAAGCAACATTATTTTTTTTCTTCCCTTTTTATTATTGTAGTACACTATATGCAACAGTAGGATTTGTTGTTACATATTCCTACTAACACAACTGTTTTTTTGGGGGGTGGAGGGCAGAGTACTGGGGATTGAACTCCAGGGTACTTTACCACCAACCACATCCCCAACCCTTTGAATTTTTTTATTTTGAGACTGGGTCTCACTAAGCTTCTCAGGGTCTTGCTAAGTTGCTGAGGCTCACCTTGAACTTGCAATGCCTCAGCATTCCTGAATCACTGGGATTATAAGCGAGTACCACTGCACATGGCAAGCACCACTGTTTTGCCCAAAACTATGTCATGAGCTTCTTAGGCTACTTCTGTCCATCTTATGGTCCAATCGTCACAGTCTTTCAATACTTAATTCAATCATATGTTCCATTTAACAAATTGGAGTTCCCCCTCAAAAACTATCAACAACTTTCCATTAAATTTTGAAAAAAAAAAATATATATGTCCTACATGGGGCCCTATAAGATCTGGCCTTGGCTCCCTCCCTAACCTCAACTGCTTCTGCTCTTCCTAGCTTACTGCACTCCAGCCACACTGGGTACCGCACAGGTCCGCAAGCTGGTCTCCCATTGTGGGGCTTCAGCCCTTGCTCTTTCCTCTGCTTCATGTGGTCTTCCTCCAGATTGACAAATGGCTATCTCACTTTCTTCACATCTCTGCTCAAACGTTCTCTCCTACAGAGGTTTCCTCTGATATCCCAACTAAAACTGTAGGCTTGTTAGATTCTACACAAGTAACAGAAATCCCTAAGAGGATTTGCTGGATCCTGTGCTGAAGGAAGAAAAGAACACCTTTCTTATCATTCTACCAGTAAACTGTGATTAGCCTTCAGCTTGGTCTTTTATAAGTATTGTAAACCTTAACAATGAGGAAAAAGTGTCCAAACCATTCACAGAAATGAAACTACAGTATGCCCCTTTATTCTAAGTTTCATTTTCCATAGTTTCAGTTTACTGTGGTCAACTATGGTTTGACAATACTACACAAGTTTTAAACTGAGTATCATTCTGAGCAGCATAATGAGGGCTCCCAATCAGCTCCCTGTCCAGGGTACCCACTGTAAGAACCCTCTGCCCAACAGGCACTAGGAAGTTAGCTCAGTTATCAGGTTACCTATGGCAGTATGCATGTTAAGTAAACCTTCATTTTATTTAATAGTGGCCCCAAAAAGCAAGAACAGTGATGCTGGCAATTCAGATATTGTAAAGAACAGCTGTGAAGTATTTCCTTTAAATGAAAAGATTAAAGTTCTAATTTAAGAAAAAAAATACAGTATGGTGAGATGCCTACGATCTACAGTAAAATTAGGTATTTTGGGAGAAACAAAATACATTCACACATAACCTTCATTTTCAGTACACTGTTATGATTGCTCCACTTTATTATTAGCTATTGTTAATCTCTTACAGTACCTAATTTGTAAGGGGGGAACTACGATGTGAAGGAAAAAGAAATTTAATTTATTGGAATGTAAACAAACTTTTTTTTTTTTTTTTGTAGAACGGGGATCAAACCTAGTGCCTTCCACATGCTAGGAAAGCACTATACCACTGAGCTACTTCCCTGGCCATTTTTACTTTTCATTTTATTTTGAGACAGGGTTTAAGTTGCCTAGGCTGGCCTTGAACCTATGATCTTCCTACCTCGGCCTCCCAAACATCTGGGGTTACAGATACTTGCCACCATGCCCAGCTAGACAAGCAACTTTTGAGACAGCTTTTCTTAAATTTTAGTTTACTTCATAGTAAACCTATGTGCTTAGTTAAAAATAGCAATACAAAAAAATTAAGTTGGGGCTGGGGATGTGGCTCAAGCAGTAGCGGGCACGCCTGGCATGCATGCGGCTCAGGTTCGATCCTCAGCACCACATACAAAGATGTTGTGTCCACCGAGAACTAAAAAATAAATATTAAAATTCTCTCTCTCTCTCTTTAAAAAAAAAAAAATAAGCTGAATCGAATCAAGCTTCCAGAGTTAACTACCAGTTTACAGAAAATACAGAAACCACTAGAATATATTCAGCAAAATCCTAAATGTGGGAATTCTACAAGCCAAAGGACCCAGTTTCTTCAACAAATTGAAAGGGCGGGCTTCAGGAAGAAGTCTTATTCTGGGCAACCTGCAGAATAAGACTTGAGAAGCACATCAATCTATCTTGATGCATAAACCTCATTTGAATACCAACTCAAACTAAAAAAAAAAAAAAAAAAAAGATGACTGGGAAAACTTCAACAGGAAATGGACATTTCAGGATACAAATTAATTTGGGGGGAAGAGAAATAATATTCTATAATTTTATTTACAATGATTAGAATGAAATTTTACATATTTTACCTAAATAATATTTTTCTTGTCTTGTCCTTTTTTTTAACAATATCTATTATGAGAAATAAATCCAAGGTTTAGAATAATGCAGGAAAATTCTGTATAAGACCATGAACAATTTTCCATTTAATTTAACTAAAAATAAATGTAAACCTATTAGCCATACTAGAAGTAGTAGAATATATATGCTGGCAAAGCAGAGGTAAAATATAGATATCTGTCAAATCTAAAAGATAATCTCTCATCTCTAATCATCTCTAATGTATTCTATGCCAAAATGCTGCCTCTTAAGCTAAACCACAACTATTTGTATTGAGACAGTACACTGATGATTAGTTTCCCTCCACTTACATAAAATAGATAAGCCAGAATATAAATCCTAAAAACCATAGCAGTTACCACATCTCAAGAAATCTACCACGCCTGACAAATGAAAAGAGTGTATGTATAGTGGGGCGGGGGGGGGGGGTTCACATTTGAAATAAGCAAATAATAATAAAAATGTACTTAAGATTTACTGAAAAATCATTCTATGCAAATATTAGTCTAATTTGCCATATTAGTATGTAGTTGTATACATAAAATGTGGAATTTTTTTGTGTGTGTGTGGTGCTGGGGATTAAACCAAAGGCCTTGTGCATGGAAGGTAGGTACTCTACCAACTGAGCTATATTTTTAGTCGCAAAATGTGGGATTTTTTAAACTAACCCAATGCCCTACTTTTACATAAATGTAAACTAAAGCCTGAGCTCAGGTTGTGGCTCAGTGGTAGAGTGCTTATCTAGCACATGGGGTACTGGGTTCAATCCTCAGCATCACATTAAAAATGAAATAAAGGCATTGTGTTCATCTACAACTAAAAGTATTTAAAAAAGAAAGAAAAAGAAAATCAAGGTCCAAAGAAACTAACTTAAAAATCAAAGAGTTCATATATTATTTATGATAGCATTAACTTTCTTAAAAGCAGATCCTTCTAGTTCTAACATTCCTTTTAATTCTAGAAGCCTGGGTTTAAAAAAATATAAAAGAAAAATGAGGTGAGAGTGCCTTGATATGAAAGAGATAGGGACTATTGAAACTTAAGAAGCAAAGACATTATAACCTTGAAATTCCCTTTTAATAGTTAATATCCCAAACTATAATATAAATCACTTAACATTCTCTATTAAAGTAGTATTATTCTCATTTAAATATTCTTAAACTCTATATGAAACTGCCAATAAGGCAACTACAATGAAAAACAAAGCAGCACAGTCAAAAACTGATTTTATAGCTAATTTCAAAGTGAATGACTTATGGAGGTATTAGTTAACTGGTGTTGATTCATTTATCACAGATATATGGAAAAGAGATGAAAATCTGACAAGAGTATACAAAATATCAATTATAAAATGGAAATTTCAGTTAAGAGAGACTGAACCAGATCTGTAAAAAAAAAAAAAAATGCAAAAACTATAATCAAAAGATTAGAAGTGTTAGGGTTGGGGATGTAGCTCAGTGGTAAAGGACTTGTTTGACTTACATAAGGCCCAAGAACCTTAAAAAAATATATATATATATATAAATATATATATAAATATATATATATATATATATATATATATATGGAAATATAAAAAGAGAGAAAGAAAGTTTAAGAAATTTAGGTACTGGTAGCTCTGTGGTAGAGCATCTGTTTAGTATGTGTAAATACCTGGGTTTGATCCCACCACATACACATATGTTAAGAATTTTGATTCGCAACGCATGTAAGAATCAACTATAAACTTATCTAAGAAGAGACTATTAAAAAATTCTGATTTCACCACTGGAGGCATAATAACCAAGGAATTTTTCTAAATAATGTACTAATTCTCAGTTCTTACACAAATTCTTACATACTTAAAATTTTACCTGAAACTCAGCTGTTTTAGGGTTACTTATGTGGACTGCCTTTGTTGCAGAGATATCCAAACCAAGTTTATCAGCAATATCTTCTTGGGAGCACTAAAAAGCACACACACACACAAAAAATACATTAATATGGAAAATGAATAAATGTAACTTAAAAAGGAATGCTATCAGTCAACCTGCAATGGTCTCAGCAATTTATATTCTCTATATGTAAGTTTTAGTAATTAATTCATCAATTTCAGGACCAAAGTATATGTAATTTAACATTAATAATTCTGTTATGATGAGTTCTAGCCAGGATATGCAGCTAAAGTAAATTTTTCAAGTGGAGATGGTAGTAAAACCTATACCCAGGTCCTTGCTAAGCTAGCCTCCCATTTATCTTTCTAATCTCCTAATTCCCTGGTCCATACCCTCCTGAACCTTATACTTTTCCCTGCCTTTACTTGAAATGCCTCCCATCCCCACATGCAGCCATTCCCTGAAGCTCTATTTAAATGACCTCTTTTCCACTTCTTCCATAAAAATGTCCCTAATGATTCCAATCAGAAATTCTCTCTGCCTCCTTGGAATTTCCCATGACTTTCTGTTTTGACTAGCAATAAATGTAAATCTTGCTGAATCCACTCTGTGTACAGAATGGTAGAACTGGAGAGAATTCAAGTGGCCTGAATTCTGCCCAAAGTTTTTCTATCATATAATTTCCCTGCACCTGCTTGATAAAGCTCATGGTAGCAAATTGCTAAGTACCCTTGCATCAAAAAAAAAAAAAGAAAAGAAAATGTTTGTCCACCTCAGAAACCAAGACAGCAGGCAAAAGTTATGAAAATAAAACCAACTATTAAGATACATCAAGCCCAATAATAAATAAGAAGATAATGCATTTTCACTGCCTGGCAGAGAGTAAATGATCGCCCATTGTACTGCTCTACAAAACAGTTTTCAAGGAATAATTGGCATGTATATCACTCAAAATAAGGGCAGGAAGTAGAAAAACTGACATGGTAAAAAGAATTCATTTAATGCCAAAGCCAGCTCTAGTGATTCCTATCATGCTCTCTTGGGAAAGATCCCAAAGCCATGTCCAAGCCTAACAAAGAAGAACTCCCTGATCTGCTTAGGCTGCAGAGGTAGAAAATGGTAAGTGGATATTTAGTTTTAAAACTGAGCCAATCTTAAAAGAAAAACATTACTACCAGTATGCAGATATAGCAAAAATCATAATGATGGGATATGAATTGCTTACTATACTTGGGTACTCAAGGAATAGAACAATGGTCATGGGCCAGGTGCAGTGATGCACACCTGTAATCCCAGTGGCTCAGGAGGCTGAGGAAGGAAGACCATGTGTTCAAAACCAACCTCAGCAAAAAGTGAGGCAGTAAGCAACTTGGTGAGACCCTATCTCTAAATAAAATACAAAATAGGGCTGGGAATGTGGCTCAGTGGTCAAATGTTCGAGTTCGATCCCTGGTAACCCCCTCCCTCGCAAAAAAAAAAAATGACTGTCACTCTTGTATTAAACCGTATGTAACAATACAGGCCATCTTAACTCAATGATGTTTAGGTTTCCTTATAAAATGTGTAACTTTTCAAACACTGAATTCCAATGGTGAAAATCCTACAGGAAAACTGTTATTTGAAATCTGAAACACTCTAGCACCTCTTTTTTCCTCCCGTGACAAACAACAAATGTATTAAAAAGTGACTCTGGACAACCAAACAGGCTAATATGACAAGTGTCTCTAGTATGACAATTCAGTCACTAGCTTTGGATGAAAAAACAGGCCTGGGCTGGAATCTGGTCCAGTCAACTGACAACTGGGAGTGGGATGAGTGACTCTCAAATTAAGCACTATGGAAGACAGAAAGGCCTACTACACAAGGCTTTGTACATAAAGCCTTAGCATAGGGTAAACATTCCCTGCAGTTACTTGTGGAATTCAGCTTATGTGTTCTTCCAAAGATACTCTAAGCTACATAGTTACATCAGAATGCACCACTAACATAGAAGGGTAGGGGAAACTAATGCCAGAATTTTAACAGCAATTAGATCTGGGAAGGAAAACAGGATTAAAAGTAGGGAGGGGAACTGTCATGGTTTACTCAATGGGATCTGTGAAGTCCAAATCCATCAATAAGAGAATTTGTTGATTCCTATGCCACTTGCATATTAAAAAAATGGGGAGAAGGGAAGAATAAAAGCTCACTGAATTAGACAAAGCGGAATGAAAGGAAGGGAGGAGGATGGGAACAGGAAAGACAGGAGAATGAATCAGACATAACTTTCCTATGTTCATATATGAGCACATGACCAATGTAACTCCACATCATGTACAACCACAAGAATGGGAAGTTATACTCCATGTATATATATATCAAAATATATTCTACTGTCATGTATAACTAAAAAGAACAAATTTAAAAAAATTTTTAAATATGGGGCTGGGGTTGTGGCTCAGCGGTAGAGTGCTTGCCTCGAACACACGAGGCCCTGGGTTTGATCCTCAGCACCACATAAAACTAAATAAGTGAAATAAAGATATTGTGTCCAACTACAACTAAAAAATAAATATTTAAAAAACTTTAAAAAATAAAAAGTACACTTCTCAGTGTTATATTTTATATTTCCCTTTAGATGCTCATGACTAGAACATGTGTGTGCCTGATTTGAATGCCATGGTGCCTGCTATAAAAGTAGTGTACACAGAAGGAAACAATGGTAATGGCTCTAGGAATCCAAAGGCCAGGACTGTAGTCACGGTGGTGCTGTTGTGGAAAATGTGTTAGGTACTTAGGTCCTCTTTCAGTTTCAGGCTTCCTTGCTGGCATAATGCCTAGCACATAACACATGTTCAACAACTATTGAAGGAGTGACTACTGACTCAGAAAAATCAAGGCCTAAACTAGAAAATCTAGACAGTCTCTGAAATACTCTAAAAGACTGAGAATTTCAGGGCTGGGACTGAGTTGGGGAGCAAGAAGTAGCTCCTCCCTAAGGTTAAACTGAAACTTGAATGCTCAAAAACTCCACCACAGGTACCACAGAAATACTCAGCAACAGGAAAAAAGCCTACAAATTGCATACATATTTTATTCTTTTAAATGGTCAATCTGGTAAGGGAGGGAGATTTCCTTCTGATTTTGTAATAAAATTCATTTCCTGATTTAGGCCTTTTATGTCAGCTTTTCAACTCAAAGCAAATGTTTGTGAACATGTTCAAAGACAAAGAAATAAGTTTAATGTGGAACAGTCCACAAGCTCTTAACCAGGGCGGCATCTAGTGGGCACAGCCACAACCAAATTAAGACCAAATATTCTAACTTCATAAATTTGGTTATACAATTCATTATGAACCCTCAACACTTACATGAAACTATAAAATATTCTGTCATCTGTCACTTAAGGCAATATTTCTAGACTTTTATGTTTTTCCTATGATTATATACAGAAACCTCTCAACATTCTTTTAACTGTTTAATCTCTAGTAACAAAGGTATTCTTTTATAGTCTGGAAATTTTAGCAGTCTAGATTTAAAAACTCATTTACAGAATCACAGAACAAATAATTTAGTCAAAATAAAAAAATCAGCTGAGCAGAAAAGTCATGTTTTAAGACATACCAGAGCAAAGGTAAGTGCTTCAGTGAATCCAGCTGCTGCCATGTCATGTCTGAGAAGTTCAGTGAGCTTATTAAGAGGAAACTAGAAAAAAATTCACTTTATTTCACCTCAATAATATCTCCATTTTAAAAATATTACATTTATATTGAACATATCATTAAAAGCAAACAACCCTCACCCTATCCCCACACACATTAATACCCCACTATCTATATAGATTACACCCTGTCCCCACCCCCACATCTCCCACACACAATTCTGCCTTCAGGCCCACATTGAGAAAATGAATTTCCTAGTCTGATTCAACAAGGGCTGTATTCTCAAAACCTGTCTTTCTTCAAAGAACTAGTCATCACAGGTTTTCAACTTACTCTAATCATTTGGGCATCTGTTTTGTATCCTTTCCATAGCAAATGCTTCTCATAGCAAAGCATGTCCAAATACTGCTTAATTCTTACGTTCTGTTTTTCTCAAAGCCTTCCTGGCATTCAATAATCAGTTTCTAACAATAAGGAGTGTTTATTTAAGGGTGCAATCTTACTTGATTAGCTATGGTGTATGTTTTCGGGAGAGTCATCTGAATGTTGTTATATCCATAAGCAATAGCTGCATCTTCTACAATATCACACGCATGGATAATGTCAGCTCTGGTTGGAGGGATTTCAATCTCAATCTGATTCCCATCACCTATGACTTCTGACTTTAAATACATCCTGGTCAGGAGCTTGGCAAGATTTTCCGGAGTTTCTCTGAAAAAGGAATGTACAAACCATAAACTTTTCTGGATTATGTAAAACATGTTTACATTTTGATTTAAGATAACGCTACTACCTGAAACCATGACTTTCTTTTTGAATCCTATTAGACATTAGACATCCTAACTGATGCCACCTCATTTTTTAACTTACTCTGAACAATATCAAAATCCTCTCCAAGCATTCTTTCAGGAAAAATTAAATAGCCTTGTATAAAGTTTGTACATGTTACACATGAAGTAACAAAGGAATAAATTAATGACTTGATAAACAAATTGAGAGAGCCTAATTCCAAAGCTTTCTCTAATAATAAGTAAATGAAGTTTTTAAAACATACCTGATTCCAACTTTCTTGTTAATAAGATCAGCTCTAACTATCTCCTTTCGGTAACCCAATTCCTTAAAGAGAAAAGAGTTGGAAAGCTTAAATCATTTCCCACTGGATATAGTTTTAGACTCTTTCTAATTCAATTAGTTGTTGTTGCAGCTTTATTACCTTGCCAAGAAAGTATTTTTAGAGTCACATATTGAAAATAAACTTGATTTTTTAAAAATTATTACAGAAAAACAAATTGCTACATTACATTCTTATATGAACATTCTACTTGCTAGATGGTTTGTACTACTTGTGCCAAACATTTTTCTCTTTAGATGCTTATTCCACATTCCCTACAGTAAAACATAGCTGCATTACATCATTTCCAAGATGTTTATAAATCCTAATAAAGATTTTCAGTCTCATCTTCGCAAGCAGATGTGTGTGACCAAAAAAGAACAATTCAAGTGTCACAATGTACCATCCATCATACTGAGTCTAAGAATGTTAAGACATTTCTCTATTACTATGTCCCACATGGGGAAAATCAATGATGCCCCAAGTCTTGGCTATCAATCTGCTTGAGGAGATAAAAGGGGTGGGAACATCTCATAAATTGACACTTACTATACTTCAAATGGAACATAATTTACCATCCAGGGATTTCCACACTTTGGAAACAAATATTTCTTGGCACCAAATTACTCTCAAAGTATAAATGTCACTATCAAAAAGGCTATATATTTAAAACCTATTTTGGTCCAAGCAAGGACCATGCACCAGAGCCTTGCTACTCAAAATACAGTCTTCAAAGGGAGAGTATCAGCATTACCTGAGTGCTTGTGAGAAAGGCAGACTTACATACCTCACAGGTCAAGCTAGCATCAGTGACACTACACATACTAAACTTGATAGCCCACACTGCAGGCTATCAAGATTCCCAGGTGAATTGAATGCACAGTAGAATTGCGATGGCACAGACTGGTCGAGATGCTCAGATGACAACAGTAATAACAAACAAACCTTTACTGAATAGTTACTGTGCGCTTAACAGTTCAAGATATACTTTTGATAATCTCTTAATCCCCTCAATGTTAGTATCCTCATTTTACAGATAAGGAATGTGAGTTTTAGAGAAAAACTAGTACTGGGTCGCAAGTACTAAGCTGCTGAGTCTAATTGCTGCTATATTCCCAAAGCTTAGAAAAATTCCTATAAGATAATAAGCATTTGGTATATATTTAATGAATAAATGTATGCATAAAGTAACTAAAAAATAAACTTGACTTGATAAACAAATTAAGAAATCCCAATTCCAAAGCTCTCACCATTAGTCATTAACCATTTCTCTCTACCACTTATCGTATTTCAAATTTTATTCTTTTCTAAAAATTTAAAAGCCTAGCAAAGAACTTTCAAAGTATTTGTGAAATTTTGCTACTTCATGTGAAGAAGCAGCAGTGAATCTCTAGAGGACCCTTCCTCTCTGAGAAGACAACCTGAGAGCTATTCTAACCAAAGTTTAGGAGAAAATAAATTAACAAATGCCAAACACCAGTGTAGTACTCCTTTTCAGAAAGACATCGAATTTATGAAAGCTCTTTTAAAGTAAATAAATGATCCAAATGAGAAAAGTAAACCAAATTTTAAAACACATTTCTCCCCTTTCACAAAAGTATATTCTTAATTTTAGTAATACTTGACAATTCCTCATATTAAAGAGAAACTTTCCTCAAATCAGACATTTTAAAAAACAATCTAAAAAGCTATCTGTGGTTAATTCCAACTACTAGTGAGGTAAATAATCACAAATTCTTAATCTCTCTACATCCATGGTTTTGCAACATGACACTACAGATCCTACAGTTAGGAGATGGCATCTATTTCTCCACCATACCAGTGATGGCCAATAGGACATCATGATTGAAAGCATGATGGGCCTGCTCTCTTGTTGCTGGGAACCCTGCAACCCACCATCATATTAAGAAGCCCAAGTGTGGGTAGAGGGTGTGTGTAGCTCAGAGCTTGCTAGCACACACAAGGCCCTGGTTTCCAGCAGCAGCAGCATGTGAACACAAAAAAACCAAGCTAGCAAGCTGGATGATGATTAAGGACAGTTGACACCCTGACCCCACAACAAGAAACATATATGAGTGAGGCCATTTCAGATCATCCTGCCATCAGCTGACCAGCCACACAGCTACCCATATGAGCAAGCTCAGCAAAGATCAGTTAAGTTGGCCCAGACACGAAGAACCATTGAAGTGACAAAGAGAATCAGGAGATAAGTAAATGGCTGTTATTTTAAGCCACTAAGTCTTAGCGTAGTTTGTTATACAACAAAAGCTAACTGATAATAACTACTAAATTCCAGATCAATTAAAAATTTAAAAATCCCTGATATTGACCAAGTAATTTCAGTTATGCCTTCTATAATTATAGTTATTTTGACTAACAATAAATGTTCTAGAATAAAATGCATTGTTAAACCTACTGTTTTGGGGAGGAAGATGTTTTGGTCATGGCAGGTTTAATTTACTTTAAAAGCTATTTAACTATTTAGGCTCTGATTCACTTCATAAATGACAAAGGAACTAAAAAATCCAAAGAGAAAAAAGCTCATCAAAGAATGGTCTCGCTGAGTCAGAACCACAAATAATTTAGTGTGATACTATCATGTTTCAGAATAGCCATCTTTATATGTACCCATCTTGGGGGGAAGTAAGTCCAGTCAATTAAGAATAATACTAGTTTGGGAGCTGAGGGTATAAGCTCAGCAGCAGAGCATTTGCCTGGCATACACAAGACCCTGGGATGAATCCCCAGTATCATCAGAAAGAAGTATAAAAATAAAACTAATTTAAATTTTTTACTAATATTCTATGTTTTGACAATAGCTGTACTTGCTACTGAATTAGTCTCATTAACACAATTGGAATTATGTATTAGTTACAGTGCTGGCCTTCAGCAACTGATAATTCAAGTGTGAACAGACTAATTAGATTTGCAGGGCTGAGTAATCTTAAAGGGGTGAGACTATAAATTACCCAGTTAGCTAGTTAATAAGATCACAAAAATTATGGCCTTATAATGTGATTGTATAACCCAGCATGTTGGCATCTGATGTCAGACTGTCTGATCTTAAATCCTAGCTCCACCACTGTATTAACAGGCAACCTATTTAAAATCTCAAGATCTCAGGATCTTCTTCTAGAAAAGGCATAAATAAGTGCACTCTCCCATTAGACTAGTTATTTGAAGTCAAAAAACATCCTCACAGGGTCATTGTGAAGTGTCTGGCATGAGGGAGGGTGGGTGAATGGATGGATGGGTAAATCAACAGAAAACAAGCACTCTGGAGCCATTATACTGTGGTCACCATCAGTTCTTAAATACTTACTGGAAAAGTATTTGACTTCCCATTAGGAAAAACTACCTCAGCTGCTTCAACCCTAAAAAACAAATGTCAGAAATAAAGTGCTTAAAAAGAAAAAATGTGTCACAATTCCAGCAATGTACATGGTTAATCAATCTTTAATTTGAGCTACAACTCCAATCTCAATACACTCAATCTACCATACTCTAACACTGTGTGAACTAATCTTCCTATATATTATTCTACCATTTCATTTCCTAAGGCTCCCATGTCCCTGTAGGCAGTGTCCACTTGCAAAATTTATTTCCTTGTAGTGCAAAGCATGCATCCTGTATGGACTTTCTGCTAATCTGGTATCCCAGGTTTCATCAGGGTAGTGTTACATGACAAAAGTTAACTGATACAACCAATGAAATGCAAAATGAGTTAAAGAAAATAACAAACACAACTAATACAGCCCATATAATTTTAGTCATGCATTTTATAATTATACATGTACTGTGAATTATAATCAATACTGTACACAGTAAAGGCCATATGGGTTTAATTTTTTTTAATTAAAAATATGCTTTGAGCCAGGTACATGCCTGTAATTCCAGTGACTCAGGAGGCTGAAGCAGGAGGATCACAAGTTCCAGACCCACCTCAGCAACTTAGGGAGCTCCTAAGCAACCTAGCAAGATCCTGTCTCAAAATCAAAAAATAAAAAGGGCCAGGGATCTAGAGATGTAGCTCAGTGGTAAAGCATCCCTGGGTTTAATTCCCTGTACAAAAATACACACACACACACACACACACTTTGGAAAAAAGTAATTTTACTGATAAATATATGGCATATATATTTTACTCTCATATGTTTCTCTTTGTTTAGTTGTGCCTCTTGCTGTTCCTCCTACACATTCTCAGACTTAGTAATCCCTAAATACAGTCTAAATTTCAATGCCTCCAAGAGGCCATCCCAGATTGCTTCAGCCAATAGTAACTTGACCTTACAAATACCAGAACATCGCCAAAACGTCTCAAGTATTTATCACTTTTTGCTTTCTACATTACTTAGCCGTATTTCTTATTTCTTTTAACATATTCTATATTCTAGTCACAGGAACCATATGTTTCATCATTATATTTAGCGCAAGGCCCAATGACTCAACTTCAAAACAGAAGCCATCAATAAAGATGCTGAATGAACTTACATGAATTGATTTTCACAATATTCACTGAACATGGTGACAATAATATCAAGAACTATTTTTGCCTGCAAAAGAAAAAGAGTATTATGGTAATTTATATATTCTCCATTCAGAGGGTAATGAATATTTAAAATAATTAGTCCTCAATCACATAAAAATGGACCTTTACATTTACATTCCAAAAAAGAAAATGGAATAAAAACTTATGAGTAGGGCTATTCTTATCTTCAGGTGCTCTGTATTTATGCAGCTCTTTGAGAGTTACAATCCATGACCGAGACAAATCATTTAGTTCCCCACTCCCAACCTTGGTTCACCAGGTTCAAGAGAGATAAATGGCCAATTACTGGATTAAATGTTTTCAATTTCATAAGTCTCTCAAACCAGACTGCCGGAATACTGGCTCAACCACTGACTGACAGTGTGACTTCAGACAAGCTACTTTATTCTCGCTTCATCTCACTTTTCTTATCTGTTAAGTGGACACAATAAAAATTCCTATCTCATTTGTCACTGTGAGCATCAATACACATAAGATAGTGCTCAGTAAGAACCACAAGCTTGTTAAATAATTTTTAATTGAAAATAAGTAGGAAAAAATATGCTAACCTAAATGGAATGTATGCATTGCTCTTATGTACATTTAACTATTATATAAGTTTCAGAAAAAATACCTAAGGTCTGTCAATGCATAACTTAAAGGCTTAAAAATGTTTTAAAAGTTAAATCTTATATTATCCTGACAATAATTCTGAAGGCAAATATGACAGGTAAATGTTACAAATGAAATACCTTAAAATGTCCAAAATCCTATAAGACCCATACAAATACTAGGTATCTCCCCTACCTTTATACTCTAGCTGCCTTCTGTTATCCGAGTTCATCTTTCTGAATTTGCTCAACTGCCCCCTCACCCTATGCTGATATATATGTCACCCAAATAATGGTGACACACGCCTACAATCCCAGCTACTTGGAAGGCTGAAGAAAGAAAATTACAAGTTTGAGGTCATCTTGGGCAACTTAATGAGTACCTATTTCAAAAATAAAAAGGTCTAGGGATGTAGCTCAATGGTAGAGCACTTGCCTAGCATCTGTGATGACTTCGGTTTAATTCCCAGTATTGGGGGGTGGGGAGCTTTCATAGTAAACCATTCCAACATAGTCCAAAGTAGGTAGCAAATAAAAGTGAGTAAACAACTGGTAAACTACATCTTCAACATATTTTTGTATGCATAAACCCTTTGTTAATTTAAAACTTCTTTACAGAAAACTTTCAAGTACACAAAGATAGGAAATCATTCAGCATTTAAATGAAACCAACTAAGATAAATGGTTTTTACTGATCTTGTTATGGTACTTATTCTAGTCTCTTTTTTGTTGTCATGTATATGGCAGACTCTCCCATTAGACTAGTTTTTTGAAGTCAAAAAACATGTAACCCATTCTTAAATCCCTGGCACTGAAAAGACATTAAGTGCTCATTAAAAATCCCTGGCACTGAGAAGACATTAAGTGCTCATTAAACATTGTCAGCCAGGCAGTGTGGCATACACCAGTAATCCCAGCAGCTGGGAAGGCTGAGGCAATAGCTCAGGGGTGGAACAATTTCCTAGCATGGGTGAGTCATGGGTTCGATCCTCAGCACTCATAAAAATAAATAAATGAAAAAAGATATTGTGTCCATCTATAACTAAAAAAAAAAATTTAAAAAAGACAAAACAAAGCCAGCCTCAGCAACTTATCAAGGCCCTAAGCAACTCATCAAGATCCTGTCTCTAAATAAAATATAAAAAAGGGCTCAGAATGTAGCTCAGTGGTTAAGCACTCCCTAAGTTCAATTCCTGGTACCAAAAAAAAGCAAAAAAAAATTGTGAAATGAAAACACCATACAGAATTTACACTGATTTAATATTCTAGTTTTCTAAACATGAAATAAATGTCTTAAAATATCTTAATTTGTACCATACAACTTGATTTAAAAGTAAAATCTATTCTATTTGATGGTATAAAATTAGAAATTTTAGCTAGGTGTGGTGGGGCACACCTGTAAGCCCAGAAACTTGGGAGGCTGAGGTTGGAGGATCAAAAATTCAAGGCCAGACATGGCAACTTAGCAAGACTATGTCTCAAAATAAAAACTAAAATAGGCTGGGAGTGCAGCTCAGTGGTCAAGTGCTCTTGATTCAATGCTCAGTATTGGGGGGAAAAAAATTAGAAGTTTTATTTACCTTAGTAAAGTCAGTTCCTGTGCATTCGATAAATACATTTCTAGTATTTACTGTTATTTTGGAATGATTCCCTGCAATGAACACAAAACAATAACAAAACAACCATTTTAAAAAACATAACTGTATTACAAAGCTCAGAGGCTACATTTTAAATTTAGAAAAAAATATAAACTAACACCTTAGAGATAAGGGGATGTACAACTTTTATTTTAAACTCTCATGGCAAGTTGGAGAATACAATAAAAGAATAACAATCCTTTATTGAGACTGTTATCTAATCTTTACCACAACCCATGACCTAACTACAGACAAGACAACTAAAATTCAGAGAGATTAAGCAACTTGCCATGATCATTAGCTAGCAAATAGTAAAGCTAAGCTCTGGGTGGTTAACTCTGAGGCCTATGTAACCACTGTAACTGCTAAAGTTCAAGATCTCAAGAAGAGGATTTTCCTTCTCATGGTGAATTAGCTAAACCTCTTTCTCACCTCCAAAAAGTCAAACATCCATGGCTTAGACATTAAATTCTGCAAACACATTCAAACTGCCTCATAAAAAAAGCCTTCAAAAAGAAATTGAGTGTAGAACTTAGATTAAAAGTTGTAGTTTAACTAAAAAACTGTAGGCAAGACAGAGTTTGACTTCTGAGTTTAACCAAGTGAATGACTACTAAAACTAAAATGTCAACATCCTTTGGAAGAATATAACAAAATCCAGAAACTGTTATCAGTAAATATTTATGACTGTATAAATAGTTATAAGTGTATAAATGTTTACAAGTACTCATACATTTACAAATATTTACAAATTTATAAATTATATAAAAATCATTAGTAAAATATTATTGAATAATGAAAAGAACTATTAGAATAAAATCAACAAAAGACCTGAGACTATCAGATTGAGTTGTTTGATTTGATCAGCCAAGTTACTGAGAATCTACAAAAATGTTAAAGAATAAGAAGAAACAGCAATAATTCATGATGCTCATGAAGGAACTCACCATTGATGATTGGAGGCATTGAAAGGACGACACCATTGCTATCATAGATAACTGGGTACAGAGGTTTATTTTCAATGATATGCAAGTAATGTTTAAGGTGGTTGTCAGTCTGAAAAAAAATCAAGTCAAACAAAGTTAATTTTAAAAATTTCTATTATTATAATTAATTCATACACTGATATTTTAAAAGTGGGGGGAATCAGAAAAATATTAAAACATTCCAAATCACAAAAAGCTCTTCACTGATATGCACTATTTTTATTTATTAGCAATTGAAAGTGTTAGTAGAATGCATGTTCATTGTCGGACTCTAAAATGTTAGTAATGAGAGGCAGACACTTTATAACAGTATCCCTCCCAGTTGCCGACTAAATATTATTTTCCTCATATTTGCATGAGTTTTAATTTTATACAAATATGAAGATTAAAATATGGTACCGTCAATTTAAGTGGTTCTTAATTCTACAAGTACATTAAAATCATCAGATTAAAAAAGTAATTAAAAAAAGTAAACAAACAAAATTATGATCTAGGCCCCACTTTAAATCAGAGGAAATCGAACAACATGGCGGCGGGTGGAGAGGCAGCGCTTTCAATACCCCCTCAAGGATGGGGTCATAAAGACGCATAGATAAGGCTTAGATTCTACCAAGGGAGAATCTCCTAGCAAAATTCCACTGAAGAGAGACCAACTGGGAGCTACTAGGATTTTTTGAAGTGACAGTTTGCCCCAGAGGAGCGAATGCCCACCACGAGACACAGAGGTCCAGATCCGCCAGCCGCTGCCAACGTAACTGGGTGGTTAGCCTCCAAGACGCAGCTTGGCAGGAAGAGGTTTTAGCCAAGCCTTCATGAAATAGCGAGCCAGGAGCTGAGGCCAACCGGGGATGGACCAGTCCCACCCCTCCCTTCAGACACTCCCGCAAGGAGCCTGGGGCCCGCCATAGCAGAGAGGTGACGTCATCGAGTCCAGCCACGGATTCCTTCCCAGCAGAATCCACTTTAGCAGGTGTGTGACTCCCACCCTATCCAGATACAAGCAGCCAGGAAACCTCAGGGATCTCTCTGGGGGCGTGTCTGTAGGGAAGCAGAGGGGATCCCCGACCCCCAACCCCCCATATCACCAGGGGCGACTCCCAAGGTCTTAGCCACCAGTTTACCACAGCACTGGGGCTTAAATGGGACACGCGGTGGGGCTGCAAGTGTAACTAGATCTCTGGGGAACCGCTTCTGGTGAACAGGACCTGGCTGGCCAGCTGACAGGAGGAAGGGGGGGAAGGGCCGGAGAAGTGAAACAGCTCTGGACTGACAAGTCTGAGAGACTTCCAGGAGCCGCCTTACAGGGATTGCTATTGGCAGGTAGAGGGCAGAAGCTCCGCTTGGAGGGCACAGCTCCGCCCACTGGAAGAAAAGAAAATGGATCTCGAAGACTTTAATTTTTCTTTTTTTTTTTTCCTGCTTCTCTCTCTGTCCCTCTTTCCCCTTTTCCTTCCTTCTTTCTTTCCCGTTTCAAGTCTTATTGTTCTTTTCATTCTCCTCTAATCTATCTATCTCTCTCTCCTTCTTTCTTTTTAAGAGCACCTTCATTCCCCTACCCCCCAACTTTCATCCCAAGCATTACATCTTCCATTATGTGTAATTGTCTAAATGCAAATGGGTGAATGTCTTGAGGCTGTCTATAGGGCTCCTAAATACCTAGCTGCTACCAACACCCTGATCCAATCGCCTGTTAGTATCCCCCCTCAGTAGAGCAATCTTCTAAAGTAGCCAAGACATACTAACCCTCATACCATCACAGCACCTAACCTAAACATAAAGTCCTAAGAACAAACAACAAATCACTATATGCATACAGAACCTGGAAGCCTTTTATGAATTGAATGAATCAGCTTTAAAGTACAATAAAGCCCAACATTTCTAGGCATAATCTCCCACCACAAAGGAGAGACAACAGACATATACAAAGCCAAAACAAATGTATAGGAGAAAGCAGTTACACAGCAGTCAAACAGAGCTGGAAAGTAATGTGAACAACATGAAAAAACAAGGGAAAAAAGGACTACAAACAATGCAGGACAACTTAAATCTACAGTAGAACCTAGAAGCATCAGAAACATGGACAGGGAAAGAAATCAAGGCATACCTAACTCAGATGGAACAGAATATTAGAGAAGACATGAGACAGCAAATCCAAGCAATGAAAGTATATTTTGAAAACGAATTAAACAAACAAATTCAAACTGCAAAGAACGAGCTTTACCAGGAGATAGATTTAAAAAAAAACCAAACAGTAATCCTAGAAATGCAGGAAACCATAAACCAGATTAAAAACTCTAAAGAGAATATTACAAATAGACTAGATCAAGTAGAA